ACAATTATTAACTCAACAATCACAGCAAATCAACAAAATGTTAGAACTCCTTTCACACATGCTAAATAACAACAAAAATTAAAATGGATACGTTAAAAACAGTAATTTGGAATGCCAATGGGCTACTTCAAAGATTGCAAGAGCTGAAAGTTTTTATACATACAAATAAAATTGACGTTCTACTGATCTCAGAAACACACTTCACGGTAAAAAGTTTTTTAAAAATTCCACACTATAATGTATATGACACCAAACATCCTTCTGGTAGGGGCCATGGAGGTTCTGCGATAATTATCAAGCAAGACATCAAGCATTTCTTCCTATGCTCGTTCGCCGACGTCCACATACAAGCTACCGCCGTAACTATAATCACAGATTGTGGCAACATTACACTGTCAGCTATCTATAGTCCTCCAAAACATAAAATAACGGTACAGCAATACGAAAGCTTCTTCAAATTATTAGGTAATAAATTTATTGCAGGTGGAGACTATAACGCTAAACATAAATTATGGGGCTCAAAAACAATCACACCACGAGGTAAAATTTTAGAACGAACTATACGAAAACTATCTTTAGATACAATATCAACCGGTGAACCAACATACTGGCCATCGGCACAAGAAAAAACTCCAGGCTTACTAGACTTTGCAATCACTAAAGGTTTACACAAACGCCACTTTGTAGCCCGTTCGTGCCTAGATCTTACATCAGATCACTCTGCAATTCTTACAGATTTTTCATCTAAACCAATGTTCACGTACGGAACAAACCACTTATACAACAATAGCACCAATTGGACCCAATTTAAGGATCACCTTGAAATTAAAATAAATTGCAACATACCACTAAAAACACCTGAACAAATTGAAACAGCAGTTATGAACTTCACTTACATAATACAAGAAGCATGCTGGATAGCCACTAAACAAACTGGAAACGATAGAAAATATCTATCCTTCCCTGACTATATTCTGCAGAAAATAAAGATGAAACGAAAATTAAAAAACATTTGGCAAAAACGCAAAACACAGCTCAACAAAAGCAGATTAAACGCCAGTACTAAAGAAGTGAAACAATTAATACAAAACTACCTCAATACTGAATTTTACAATTACATAACAAAACTATCACCCAAGGAGGACACGAATTATTCACTCTGGAAAGCCACCGAAAGATTGAAAAGGTCAGCCATTCTGCTACCTGCTATAAAGAAAAATGACTTTAGCTGGGCTAGGAGCACGCTTGACAGAGCAAATGTTTTTGCTGAACACATACAACACACTTTTAAACCAAATACAGGCAGCTGTAATATTACTCCACAAGTAACTCCGCAGCCCACAACTGAGCACCAGGTACAAATTATATCACCAACTACGGTAAAAGAAGTTACCCGCCTTATTCATGAAACTCGGGATAAAAAAACGCCTGGGTTTGATATGATAACTGGTAAGATCCTCAAGGAACTTACACCCAAAGCGGTAAGAATGCTCACTATAATCTTTAACGCGGTTCTAAGAAGTAAATATTTCCCTGTAAACTGGAAGTTAGCTCAGGTCATTATGCTGCCAAAACCAAAGAAGGATCCTCACTTGCCATCGTCATACCGACCGGTCTCGCTTCTACCGCTAATGTCTAAACTTTTAGAATAAATAATTCTAATTAGAATGAAGAAAGTAATAAGTGAAAAAAACTTAATTCCGCCTCATCAATTTGGTTTCAGAAATAAATATGCGACAATTGAGCAGGTGCACAGGCTAACAAATAAAATATATTCCGCATTTGAACAAAAGATGTACTGTACTTCTGTTTTTCTAGACA